AACCGGAACAACTATTTATGGGTCGAACAAAAACTCATTCAGTGCAGGATTAGTACTATAAACTAGTAATAATTATTTCTACTTAGTGATTAAAAAATAATTAAAAATTAAAAATTGTGTACAGCAGACTTCAATATAAGTTATTAAGAATAACTCAAAAATTATTAGTCTGACCTTGATCAAATTTATATGGGACCACACGATAAGTATCAGAATTTCAAATAAAAAAAGAATCTTCGAAATCGGTTCACCCAGTAAAAAGTTATGAGGTAACACACATAAAAAAACATACAGTCGAATTGAGTACGGTCACAGAATAAATAAGTAGTATATGTACCGTCTCCTTTTTGGAAATCGGCAGATAAGCATAATGTTTACTTACCAATTACCTACATAACTTATGAACTGTTCTTCTTTCTTTTTTTAACAATCTGTAATTGTTCAATCCTGGACATGGACCTCTCCTGTAATACTCCCGTATTATAGTTTTAATTTTGCCATTTTTTTCATAATACTAAATTAACAAAGTAACTTTATTACGATAAATGGCTACTGCAGCCCATGGACACCTGCAGTCAACTTCAAACAAAGAAGGCTATGGTTGCGTTGCTAGCTCGGAGATCTGAGATGCAATACCTTACAGGCACAGCCTATAATCATACTGGCTCTCTCTATACACTTCAGACCGGAACGAAGCAGTGCAAGCACTGCTAATTGGCACCAGGCAAAAAAGAGACCTAACGCCAAATAAAAGTAGTTTTATTGTTAAATTTCTTACAATAAATAATTTTATTACAATTTTGTCATGCTGCAACAATGTATATTATGGTAGTAGCACGAATGAACTGGCTACCCAGACGGACTCAAAAAAGAGACCTACCGCCAAATAAAAGTAGTTTTATTGTTAAGAATTAAATTTCTTACAATAAATAATTTTATTACAATTTTGTCATGCTGCAACAATGTATATTATGGTAGTAGCACGAATGAGCTGGCTACCCAGACGGACTCAAAAAAGAGACCTACCGCCAAATAAAAGTAGTTTTATTGTTAAATTTCTTACAATAAATAATTTTATTACAATTTTGTCATGCTGCAACAATGTATATTATGGTAGTAGCACGAATGAGCTGGCTACACAGACGGACTCAAAAAAGAGACCTAACGCCAAATAAAAGTAGTTTTATTGTTAAATTTCTTACAATAAATAATTTTATTACAATTTTGTCATGCTGCAACAATGTATATTATGGTAGTAGCACGAATGAGCTGGCTACCCAGACGGACTCAAAAAAGAGACCTAACGCCAAATAAAAGTAGTTTTATTGTTAAGAATTAAATTTCTTACAATAAATAATTTTATTACAATTTTGTCATGCTGCAACTATATTATGGTAGTTGCACGAATGGGTTAACTCGACCGGGGAATAATCACGCTCTCACAGAATACCAGCGTAAAATAGCAGATCAATGCTGCTGTGTTTCGTATGGTGAGTGTAGACAGCCGGGAACCTTTTTTACTGGAAACGAGGCATTCCATCTTAGTCCTCAGGGGTGGCAACGCATCTGCATTTTGAGTCATAATCGAAGTGTTATTAGGTGGATTGCGTGCTCATTTGTCACCCTTATTGTATAAAAAAACCGTGGTACCTGCTGTACGCCCGTCTTGGAATATTATAGTATGCAAGTAACTCGAGTTAAATCTTCTCCGGTATAATTCTAATTCATTACATTCATTCATTACAGCCTGTCAAAAGTCATACATAAGGCTTCCCCATAGATTACCTCATACGGGGGGGGGGGGAGTACTTTCCATGGCTACTACTGCTGTCCATCATGTTTCAGTTTTCCTCTGTCGACTTTCACGAGATGTCACACCAAGTAGTAACTCAGATTACATGGAATCTCTTACGCCTAAGCGGCTACCACTGCCAATTTAATTCCAAATAGAGAGAAGATTTACCGAATTGTTACATTTTTCCCACCAACTGTCCCAGTGGTAGAACAAATTGGAATCCTTAAATTTTTCTCGTCTACTTTTCCCTGTCAATCGTTTCTTCATTACAGCCCTTCACAAGTTCACTGCTGAACATAGGCCTCCCCCAAGGAATGCCACAAAGCACAGTCCTGAGCCACCTACATCCATCGACTTCTTGCATGTCTTACCAGCTCGTCACTCCATCTAGTGGAGGGACGCCCTACACTTCGCCCACCGATACGAGGATGCCACTCGAGAACCTTTCTTCCCCATCGGTTGTCGGTTCTTCGAGCTATATGGCCGGCCCATTGCCACTTCGGCATACTAATTCTTTGGGCTATGTCGGTTACTCTGGTTCTACTGCGGAAATCCTCGCTTTTAAGTCTATCACGCAGAGAAACGCCGAGCACAGCCCTCTCCATAGCTCGCTGAGCGACTTTGAGCTTCCTCATACGACCAGCAGTGAAGGACCACGTCACAGATCCGTAAGTCATCACTGGCAACAATCGTTTTTTGGTGGGACAAATTACACTGATATAGTAACCTCATCCACTGTTTCTGACTAGGGCTGGCATAAGCGAATTTCGAGATGTGATTTTCGAACTGTGGGACAGTTGGTGGGAAAAAGTGGAATGATTCGACCTCGACCTGCTTTTTTGTAAGTTGTAGTGGGTTTTTGTAGTTTTGTAGGCTGATTATAAGTAATTTTAGAAGGATATGTAAAATCCGGAGCGTGGCGATACATTCCACCCCAATTACTACCATATATGAGAGAAAATGTATTACGTCACATTTTATATTTATTTACGTGACTAATCTCAGTAACGCATTTAACCGCAATAATACATCAAATTGCTCCAAAACAATTGCATCCATTCTTATCGTTTTGTCCTAAATAATTGATAACCTTGTGACATCAGTATCGAATACTCAGTTATTAAATACGAATCAATATACATTTATTGAAAAAGACACGTGTTTTATAATCGCTCCGTAGAAAGTGTCACGATGATAACAGCCCTGAATGAAAGCAATCAAGTCGGCTTGTAAACAAGATTATAATGAGGTTTTCCCTTTTAGCCAACTAAATACCGGTTAATATTAATGCCATATCATTCCATGTTTGAAAGTGTGACGTGTGAAATAAATGTAATGTTTTAAAAATTATATTTATACTTCGAAATAGTATAGATATTTGTTACATTAGATAAAAACTGGAAATTAAGGTAAGTTCCCACTAGTTCAACTATTTACGTCAACAGTTTTACTACTAGGACCAAAACATTGAAATTCTACGAACTGATTAAATTAAATTAAATAAATGTGTGAAATGGATATGAAACATTTATTATGTTTGTAATTCGAAATACTTTTGATATTTATTGCTGTATTACATAAAAACTAATATTTCAACTAGCTATCTAAATCTAACACCTAATAATAATAGTTTAACCGATTAGTTCACCCATTGAATTACTTTAACTAAATAGTTGAACTCCTTAACCTTATTAAATTAAATGATAAAATGAAATATTTTATGGAAAAACTAATCTTTTATCGGCAGTTATTTTGGAAGGTGCGGCTGCGTGGAGCCGGAGGAACTACTATGGAGATTGGTATCCTTTCATATTACAACTCTGCTATCGTGGAAGACAACAACCTCGAACGTTGTTAGTACCAACCATGGAACTTGGCCCCCTTTTCACATTTATGTTGTTGGTGGAATGTTATTAGCATTAAATGTTCATGGGTAGTGGCATTAAAAGGCAATGGTGACGTCATAAGAGAATTCAATCACCATTCACCACATTTCACTCTGTGGTGTCATAGGAGACGACTGAGGTAAACTGAAACAGAAAATGGGCAGCAGCATCACCCTGATTACAACTCAAAATAATAAAAACATAAGGTTGCCAACCCGCCTTGCCAAGCGTGGCAACTATGCACTTTCACTGTCAGCACTAATACCAGCACCACTAACTCCAATGTTACTTCACTAGGAAAGGAGGAAGATGCTCTAGGAGTGATCGAAGGAGGTGCCCTTCTTATTTTTTTCGCGTGGATCTTAACTAATTTTAACATCCACAAAGTAACCCATGATTCCATTACTATTTTTTAATTCAAACTTTACTTAGTTTAGTCTCTTGTAATTATTTTCTCATTCGGTTAATCTCATCCGTCTCTCCAATACCGCACAGCTTTAGACACGCTTATCTAAACAAATTACATCTGCAAACAAGATTGGAAGCGTCAGCCTATTACTACAAAGAGGTCAAATAAACCGTTAGACTCAAAGTGTACCATAATTGGACAATTTTATGGTGAAGCTCATACGTCTGTGAGATATAAGAAGGTAATAAACTGACCCAATGAAATATTATATAATTGGTAAACGATTGCCTCAGTTTTGTAAACTTTATTAATATATTTAATTTAGATTCAGATGGCGAAGTTATTTCTTTTGAAATTACTCACTACCGCTTGTCGCGAGCGTCCTTCGGTCCGGAATCAACATATTTAACACATATTTCTTTTCGGATCTAAATGTGTTATGATTGTAACAGTGTCGCAAACAATACAAATTTCACCTTTTCTTAGCACACCTTCAATCTTTCACAGTGATTCTACTCCTATGTTGTATCGGTCTAAAGTATCACAGTTTTTACGGGTTCTATACAAATAGAAATAGAACTTGAGGCGGCATGTAAATAATGAATATACTTTTATTTTTAACTGTTGAACGTATTTAAAACATTATACGCGCTGCTATTGTGACCAACTGGCACCGCATAAATTAAGATAAGTTAGTAAATATTTCATTTAGGTCCAAGTTTCGATTTCAATATAAATTTATATTGAAATCGATTATTAGATATTTATATCTGAATATCAATGTGGATGTTTTTATAGTTTCAATCCATGATCACAAATCTACTATAAGTTGACAACCACCAAATATCAAACTAAAGATTCCTATAATGAATACACTAATAATTAATGTCCAAGTTCACACATCACTTACCGGTAACTTAGCGGTGCTCGCAAGTTCATAGATGTGCTTCTCGCGATAGGCCGCCGCCGCTTTTCGCCGTCATGCCAACCCGCATAACTCCTGGTATACGAAAGTAAACTGCACATCTCACTACCGTTAACAAACTCCACTGACATATCCACTGTATCGTTCGAACCAAAACTGTCGTTTAAAAGTTTAGTGTCATTAAACTCTATTGCGTTTATGCTTGTGGTGAAGTCCGTCACATTTTCAAATATTGAATGATTCGTTAACTCATACACGCCGTCGTGTTTTGGACTAGAATAAACGTAAACTCGATCTAACTCTGGATCGTTCTCGGTCTTCACTCTCAAGTTCTCTGATGGGCGTGATGTATTTAGGTCACGGTTATAATCGTCTATAGACGTGTACCAGGCTTCCAGAATAGCGATATGGGTGTCCAGCTCCCGACAAGTCAATCGGATTTCTTTGTCGTGACATCGTTGCTCCTCTACTATTTCTGAAACAAAAAAATATAAATTTTAAAATTTTAATTTGGCTCTACGTTCTTTTTTTATTTATATGTTACCCGATAGCATTGTGAAAATAATAATAATCTTCTATTTTATTAAAAAAGAAATACTTCGGTGGTGGTACCGTATAAATTTTGAGAGATACCTACTTTTAAGGGTATAAAAATATGAAATATTTTTTAAATGTAGCTATTGAAATGATATTCTAGCTATTGTCTTGCTTATGATATTCTTTAATAATCCATTCAAAATCGTCAAATTTTTTTTATAGGATAAGGGTTACAATCGACCACTGTTCACCTAATCGTAAGTGGTTGCTGCGGCCAATAGACATCTACATCTATCCTCTATTACAAATCAAAGATGCGTTGTCACCCGTGAGGACTAAGATGGAATGCCTCGTTTCCAGTAAAAAGAGTCTCCGGTTCTCTACGCTCACCATACGAAACACAGCAGCGTTAAGCTGCTATTTTACGCTGGTATTCTGTGACAGCGTGATCCTTCCCCGGTCGAGCTGACCCATTCGTGCTCATGTTGATTTAAAGTTCAATAAATAAATTAAACAACGTCTGTTTTCTATCCAAAAGTGAAGTCTAATCGTACAGAGTTCTAAAGTTTATAGTAAAAATGTAAAACAATTTAAAACAATAAAAATATGTTTCAATTTCAACAAATCACACCGACTTAATGCTTGGCGGTCAACTAATGTACAAAACAAAAAAGAAAAAAGAAAGAATTTTCCAAATTTATTTCCTCACGTGACTACTTTGATGAATCTGATATCGCCAGCGCTTTTTCTGTATCAATTTGATGTAGGGATACTAGACTGGGTGGCAACACACCTTGTATTTCTTCTGGTGTTGCAGTTGTTCATGATCGGCGGTTTTCACTTACTATCAGGTGAGCCGTAAGCTAGTTTGCCTCCTTTTCTATAAAAAGCAATGCGTTCGAAATTTTTATTTATCCCACTCCCCAAAATAACTTATTATAAAAGTTAATCTTTTAAGTTTTCCTCGGTAATACATTGCTACAATTAGCTTCAACCCTTTTATTCCCTTTTATATACGTTATATATTCTTTGGAAAGAATACTCTTTCCAAGGAATATATAACGAAAACGGGTAAGATTTACAAGTGAACCAAACGCTATGAGTTAATCCCCTCAGAGCTCGATAAATTCCACTTTTGAGGGACAAAAACATAAATCGTTTAGTCGCGCCTAACTTAATTTACAAAAATAGCATTCTCTACAGATATTTTTTCCCTGGCGACATTTTTTAAATTTATAATGTCGTAATATTTCAACAATATTGAAATAAATCATTAAAATTGTGCGTGGTAGAGCCATGCTGCAAGTATATTATGGTAGTTGTACGAATGGGTCGGCTCAACCGGGGAATAACCACGCTCTAACAGAATGTCAGCGTAAAATAGAAGCTCAATGCTGCTCTGTTTCGTATAGTGAGTGTAGAGAACGGGAGATCCTTTTTACTGGATGCGATTTTACTAAATACGAAAACTCATACAAATCTTTAGAGCCGTTTCCGAGAAACCAACCACATATAGTTTAAGTTGCAGAAACTGCCGTTCTGCAGTACTGTCTATTCATTTCAAATAAAAATATTTTTTATTTGACTAAGAATTCTAAATTTCAAATTAATTTTATTAAAAAAAAATGGAATTCTTTTTTCAAAATTAGTCATTTGTTTATTTATTAGCCCTATATTTTCATCGCATTTGAATCTTATACGTCATTATGGATGCATTAAAAATTCGAGTAATTATGGAATATGAGAACCGTCGTGGCAGCAACGCGGCACAAGCGGCACGCAACACCAACGACTTTTACGGAGCGAATACTACAAACGAACGCACCACCTGTTATTGGTTTGCCCGCTTCCGTTCTGGAAATTTCGACCTGAAAAATAAACCCCGTGGTCGTCCGTAAAGTATGACGAATCAAAAGCGATTGTGGAATATAATACTCAATCTACGTCTGAAGTTGCAGCAGCTATCGACGTTACAATCAAAACAATGTTTGTCCATTTGCGTCAAATTGGCAAGGTAAAAAAGCTTGACAAATGGGTGCCCCGCAAACTATATGATCGTGCCTTGCAATGCTCAATAAGTACACAAACGAAGGAAGTTTGCACCGTATGTTACCTGCAAAGAAAAATGGATTCTGTATGACGATCGCAAGCGCTCAGCAAATTGGTTGGATCCTGGTTCAGCACCCAAACAATGCCTTAAAAGAAAACTTACCCCTAGAAAAGTATGGTCACTGTTTGGTGTGCTTTTCATCATCATCATCACATCAACATCTTTCATCACAGCTTCTTACCAAACGGGATAAGCATTACTGCAAATGTGTACTATGGAGAACTGAACACAGTGATGGAGAAGCTTGCACGTCGCCAACTAGCTTTGGTCAATCGCTCGTTCCCGCTGCTTCTGCACGACAACGCGCGACCTCATAGTACACAAAAGACGGTCTCCAGGTTACAAGAGCTGGGGTTGGAAGCTCTCTATCATCCGCCATACTCACCAGACCTTGTGTCTACAGACTTTTTCTTTTTTCCGGAATTTAGATAACTTTTTGGCGGGAAAACATCCAATACCCGAGAGGCAGTACAAAATGCCTTTGAAGAATTTGTTACCCCGTCCAGCTGATTTCTTCAAGAAAGGCATCAATAAAATGCAATTTATTTAGTTATTTATTTATATAATATGCATGCCACAAGAAATACATCATCAATCATCAATTGCATTGGCAAAGATGATTCCATGGGTGATTAGTTTGATTAAAATGAAAATATATATAAAAACTTACTTCTTATATTTACGCGAAGATGACACATTAAATGAAACATTAAATAACTTTTTACGGATTTTATCACATTTAATTTCACTTTTTAATTCTTAACTTGACTTTACTTTTACTTTGTCCCCCCCGTGTTGTAAAGCACCCAAACGTCGGGAATTAAAAAGTTAAATTAAACGCGATAAAATACGTAAAAATTTATTTCATTTAATAAAAAATGACGTTAATTTATTTCATAAAAACGGCTATTTCATAGGTAAAGATCTAATATCTATAAAGATAAAAATATTATATAAAATATAAAAATATTTAATATTTATAAGATAATGATGATTTTTGTTGGTTCAGACACTCATGTACGGAAGTGAAAGTTGGGTATGGCAGAAGAAACATGAAAGCAGAATAAATGCAATTGAGATCAATTTGAATCGTTAGGAATTATGATAGGAGTTAAACTGAGTGACAGGATAATAAATAGTGAGATAAGGAAACGTTGTGGTCTGAAAGAAGATGTAGTGACAAAAATTGAGAAAGGTATGCTGAGATGGTTTGACCATGTCGAGAGAATGAATGAAGAACGATTGACGAAAAAAGTGTATAAGGCGAGTGTGAATAAAAGTGTTGGAAGGGGTAGACCTAGGCGGACATTTTTAGACCAAATCAGGGACGTCTTGAAAAAAGGCCAGGTCAAGAGTACCCTAAACCGTAAAGCATGTATGAAGGGAATAATGAAAGTGGACGAAGCGAAACAAGTATGTAAGGATCGTAGCAAGTGGAAAGAAGTGGTCTCTGCCTACCCCTACGGGAAAGAGGCGTGATTATATGATTATATGTATGATTTTGGAAAGTAAAAATCATTGAGCTATTATGTACTACGTACAGTACATATTACTTCAATGGTAAGAATCAACTTTGTCTCTTCTGCGATATTTTTAAAATCTATTTCCATTTGCCCCGTTGCACTTCTCATCCGAGAATCACCATGGCAACCAGTTAAAACAATATCCCTTGTAGGTCTTCACCAGTGATTGTTGATCTACCCCGCTGCTATAAGCACTCGGGTTTTCAAAAAGGTGGGCTGAGAATATAATCAAAATCATAGGTCAAATAAAATTGGTCTACTGCAGCTAATCCTTGGTATGTATTAGCAAATTGTTTGTGATAGAGAAATTTAGACTTTAAATTTACAAAATAATGTGCAATTTACGTTAGCACTGTAAACTTTTGAACAAAATAAATGTCGATATTTGAGAGCTTTCAATGCTTAATGTCGAAGAGTCTGCATTTAAAGACGATTAAATATTGTTGTTTGGTTTGAATTTTTGTCGATAATTTCCATCTTAGCAATAAGATGTGTGCCACATATCAATAATAATATACGTCCAAATATGATCTTAGATTTAAATCTCAAGTATGAAATATCCATGAAATACATAACATAACAATATACAAAATTCATTAAAACAATAGTAGAGAAAAAAATTTTCTACAGTGGTAGAGCCACACGGCAGCTTTTGCTGTCGCATAGATGGGTCGGCTCGAACCGGGGTAGTACCACGACCTCACAGAATACCAGCGTGAATTAGAGGTTTACCTCTGCGTTTCGTTTGGTGAGTGCAGGTGGCCGGAGGCCCTTTTTACTGGAAATGAGGCATTCCATCTTAGTCCTCACGGGTGACAACGCATCTGCATTTTGATTTGTAATAGAGGATAGATGTAGATGTCTATGGGCCGCAGCAACCACTTACCATCAGGTGGACTGTGTGCTCGTTTGTCACCCTTATCCTATAAAAAAAAATGGTACTACAAAAAGTATTGCCTTGTGAACCTATTTTCACAAGAGGCAAAATGTTTATACGAACTGTGTGTTAAACTAACTGAACTATACAAACCAGGATATTATGCTATGATATCATGACGAGATGCCTATACCAGGCGGTATAGACATCTCGTTTACGACAGGCGTGAATACTAAATATCTAGACCGTCGCCAACGGACAGCAGCGCAGTTGCGATACATCTGATACTGCAAACGTCAATCCACGTCCTAAGCGTGACGATTAAAGAAAATCCTACCGTATTCATGCCCGTGTTCAGCTGTGAACTTCTACGAGCTAATGATGATGATGCTATAGCAAAGTTTTATTCAAATAGAATAAATTCTGCT